TTAAAGTGAAATACAAATAAAAAGACTGAAGTGAAATGAACAGACTGAGAAGTTTTTCTCATTTGACAAAACAGTTCTTGATTTAGTTTATGTAGTGGATATAACATGCAGTTAAAAAGCTTAATCACAATATATTGTATCGCAATTTTCAGCATATCGCAACATTTTAAAAATCGCAATAGAATCGTATCATGTCTCGAGTATCAAACTTCTGACACTGAGCTGAGGAAGACCTTTCTGAAAGACGTCCAAACCAACAGATCTCATTGGGTAAGGCTGGTAAAAAAATCTCCTCCAATATCATCCTGAACACCAGTGTCCACCAGGGCGGCACCCTCAGTTTACTCCATATTTCTACTCTGCAGACACAACTACCACCACACCCATCGCTCCAACACTTGGATTCAGTTTGCAGATTACTCCTCAAATGTGGGTCTGTTATGGATAAGTGTAAAGAGCTTTCAGAGAGGAGGTCCAGACATGATCTGCATGGTGCACTGACAACAACCTGAGTCCCAACAGCAGGAAAACCTCATTGTTAGCTTCAGAAAGGAAACAGTTTGACCACTTCAGGAGGAGGTGAATCTGACCGCCAGTCTTTAGATTCTCCGAGTTCATGAATCTGAGGACCTGATCTGGAGCCTGAACACCTGGGTCCTGGTAAGGAGGGCCCAGCAGCTCTTTTTGACATGTTATTGTTTTATGATTCAAAGTCCTGCAGTGAAGCCTCCTCTGATAAGATAAAACTTTATTGATGCTAGAGGATCAATTCAAATGTTTCAGCAGAAGAAAGACAGAGAAGAGTTTAAATAAAAAAAATTAAATTCATCAAATTAAAACAAGAAGGAGATGATGACAGACCTTAAAAAAGAGTGATTCATGTCCAAGTTACAGACTGTGCTGTAAATACACACAGAACCAACAAATAGTTTAATTCATAGAATAATATACCATCTAAGAGAGAACAGAAGATTGGATCAGAATACCAGCTGAACCAGGTAGATGTGATGTTTGTAGACTGACAGTGAGGTGATGATGATGATGATGATGAAGGTGAACCAGGTAGATGTGATGTTTGTAGACTGACAGTGAGGTGATGATGATGATGATGAAGGTGACCAGGTAGATGTGATGTTTGTAGACTGACAGTGAGGTGATGATGATGATGATGATGAAGGTGAACCAGGTAGATGTGATGTTTGTAGACTGACAGTGAGGTGATGATGATGATGATGATGAAGGTGAACCAGGTAGATGTGATGTTTGCAGACTGACAGTGAGGTGATGATGAAGGTGAACCAGGTAGATGTGATGTTTGCAGACTGACAGTGAGGTGATGAAGATGATGATGAAGGTGAACCAGGTAGATGTGATGTTTGTAAACTGACAGTGAGTGATGATGATGATGATGATAATGATGATGAAGGTGAATCAGCAGCTTCATCTCTTTGTTTTCTCCACAGCTGAAGATCTTTGATTGGATGTGACTTCAGCAGCTGAACTCCATCAGTGTTGTTGTAGTGACAGAGTGCAGCTCTTCCAGCAGGGGGCACTCTGCTATGAATCAGTGTGAGGACACAGAGGAGAGAGTCCCTCCCTCTAAAACCTCTCTGTGTGAGGAACATGAAGCTCTGAGGTGAGGATCTCTAACTGTCCATGACTCTTCTCCATGTCACAGCTCAGCACTCACATCACATCACCTTCATCATCATCATCATCATCATCATCATCATCATCACTCCAGCTTCATCATCATCATCTTCATCACTGTCTCATCTGCTGCTCACAGTAACTAATAATGTTGTTTGTTTGTATCAGGATGCAGGAACAGAGACCAGACTCTCCTGGACCCAGCTGTGTGTCCATGAAGAGTGACCAGTCTAAAGATGTTATTATCGACTTTAAAGATGGACGTCCTGCTGATGGAAGGTGAGATCTGAAAACTGAAGTTTATTTTCTTTGTTTTAAGACTCCTGTTGTGGTCCAGCACTTTATAGAGTCATCAGTAGACAGACAGACAGACAGACACGCAGACAGACAGACTCACACACACACACACACAGACACACAGACTGACAGGCAAGTGTTTTGTTACCCGTCTCTCTACAACCGGGTAACAAAACACGCCAAGACTGTGTCCAAACAACAACAAAGCCACACACTGATTATTGCCATCTGCCTCTTACTACAGTGACTACAGTGTCCCAGCCCGCTAAACCAACCTGCAGAAGATGGTACCTGCACCCCTTTCACAACTAGGAGGAGTAACAGCACCTTCTACCTGAGTGCCATGGGGGGCCTGCAGTCTGCCGGGGACGTGGCGTCCAGTGTTGCGGGGATTTCGGTGAGCGGGGATGGCGGTGTGTGTCCGTGGATCATACCAGGTGTGCTGGCGTCTGCACCAGCGGGGCAGCCGGCAGCGGTGGGGTGCCTGGATGCCGGTGCGCTGCCCGGGAGCATCGCGAGGACGGCGTTTCCCCGTGTTTGTACTTTGGCAACAAACATCAAAGGTGACGATCCTCCCACACGATCAGTAAAAACTCTGACTGTTGGCGAATGTAACTCTAACCAAAACATTAATCCACGTGGAGCCAGAAGGCATACAGCTGATCCAAAAAAAAATCAAAAAGTGATCAAATTCAACATCTTCTAATGGACTCAAATCTAGATTTTCTATTCTTGTCTGAGACTTGGCTGCATGAAAACTCGCCATCTGCAGCATTAGAGGTACCTGGCTATCAAATCTTCAGAAGAGATAGAGTGACATCAAAGGGAGGCGGGGTCATGGTTTATGTGAAGGATAGTAGTCAATGTAATGAATTAACTTGGTCAAATTGTGAGTTGGAATGTATTGGCTTGAATATCACTTTGTCACCACAAATGTCTTTTGTCCTGATTGTAATTTACTGCCCACCCTCTGCAAATAATGCATTTTATGAAAAGTTCCAAAACATGCTTGTAGAGTGCAATTTTAAAAAAGAGGTGATAATAATGGGCGATTTTAATGTTAATTGGGAAGATAAGGCTACTAGAAAGAACCTCAAACAAATAACTGATGGTTTAGATCTCTCACAGCTGATCAACGGTCCAACAAGAATAACCCAATCCACCAGAACTCAGATTGACTTGGTATTTAGTAACAGACCTGAGAGAATGACTAAATCTCTCAATATGATAACTAGGATATCTGACCACAATCTTATTCTGGTGATCAGAAAATTAACAAAAACGAAATTTAGCCCCTCAATTGCCAAAGAGAATGAATCTCTTAGAATTCCTAAGAACAAGCAGGAATGTTTTAAAAACACTATAAATAGCGTCAATTGGAATGATTTGCTCTTAGGAAAAAACTTGCAGGAGGGCAGTCAAATATTCTCAAGTAAAGTGCATAGTGTCATCACAGAATTTTCTCGTAAGTTTAAGTATAGGAATAAAAAGAACAGTCTTCCCTAGATAAATGCAGATATTTTAAAACTGATGAAAGAGCGAGATCTGGCGCTGGAAATGGCCATTAAGACCAGATTGTTCCACGACAAATTTCATTTTGCCATGTTAAGAAATAAGGTGATAACAGGGTTGAGGAAGGCTAGGGCTGATTTTTTTCAGCAACATTCAAATGTATGCTGACGATACAGTTTTGTATGTGTATGGTTTAATAAAAGCAGAAGTTGCTTCAAAACTAACAACCGCAATGGTCAAAATTACAGCATGGCTTAATCAGTGCTGTCTCCAACTTAACGTGTCTAAAACTGTTGGTATGTTCTTCACTAAAACAAATGACTCAAACCAGATATCCGATCCAGATATACTTGTGTCAGGAGAAAAACTACAGATTGTAAAAGAATTCAAATACCTTGGCATTATACTTGACTCCAATCTGAACTTTAAAGCACATGTAAAAAAAGTCTGTAAACAAATTAAATTTAACCTTGCCACTTCAGATTTATCAGAAACTCTACTCTCTCAGAATGTCAGAATGTCTACTGAAGCAGCCAAGATGTATTCAATGATTTTCTCATATATGACCTATTGTTTGACAAGCTGGTCTCAGGCAAGTCACACCACATTAAAACGACTACAGTCTTTGTATAAACAGACAATAAAAGTTTTAGACAAAAAACTAAAGCAATTCCACCACTGTTCAATCCTCAAAAAATACAACCTCCTGAGCTGGGAGAACATGATTGAACACAAAAATGCATGCCTCCTTTATAAAATCACACATGGTTTGGCCCCTCCCCCACTCAGAGAGTTTGTAAGCATACGAACAAACACACATCACTTCACGAGGGGTGTCTAAAGAGGCGACTGCATTATTCCTCCACGGAAGTGTGTTTTTAGTCAGTCGGCCTTTTCTGTTACAGCCTCACGTGAATGAAACAAAATCCCAACAGTTATCAGAGAGAGCAACACATATCGTTCATTTGGTTCAAATCTGAAACAGTGGCTATTTGATAACCACATCTGCCAGCACTAAACCTGTTCCACTCGCTGCTGCCCCCTTGTGTCTGGTTGTTGATGAACGTGTCCTGTTTTTGAAATGAATGTGGCCTGCGTGTTAATTGTCTGTTGAGGTGAGCTTCAGGTATAGCTCACTCAATGTTTTTTATGTGACCTTGTGTAATTTGTAATTTGTACGTGTTTATTGTATATTGTGTTACATGTTGTCTTGTTGTGTGCACGTTACAGTTACTTTAGTAGGTTATTGGATACGTGCTTTTACTAATACTTGTTTTTGTAGCTTTTAGCAATGTTTGAATTTGTTTTGTTTTTTTAGGGAGCCTTTTATAAAATCTGGCCAGGGACAACAGATGAAAATTAGCCTTTTGGCTAACTCTGGCATATTTACAGAAATGTTTATTAATATGCAATGTCCCTGTAAAATAAAAACTAAAAAAAAACTAAAAAAAAAAAAGCAGTACAGTCTTCTTGAGCTGCTCCGTGTTTTCCATCCAACATTACAGAAGGTCGCAACAGAGACGCTCGCTGTCTGTAAAGTTCTGTTCATCTTTGACGGCCTGGATGAAAGCAGACTGTTATTGGACTTCAAAAACAGGGAGGTTGTGTCTGATGTCACACAGAAGTCATCATTAAACACATTGTTCACAAACCTCATCAAGGGAAATCTGCTCCCCTCAGCTCTCATCTGGATAACTTCTCGACCTGCAGCAGCCAATCAAATCCCTCCTTCATGTGTTGACAGGGTAACTGAAGTACGAGGCTTCACTGACGACCAGGAGGAGGAGTACTTCAGGAGGAGGTTCAGTGATGAAGATCTGTCCAGCAGAATCATCTTACACATCAAGACATCCAGGAGCCTCCACATCATGTGTCTGATCCCAGTCTTCTGCTGGATCACTGCCAATGTTCTGGAGCACATGATGAGCACAGAGCAGAGAGGAGAGCTGCCCAAGACCCTGACTGACCTGTACTCACACTTCCTGCTGGTTCAGACAAAGAGGAAGAAGAACAAGTATAATGAGGGACATCAGACAAGTTCACAAGAGCTGATGGAGACCGACAGGGAAGTTCTTCTGAAGCTGGGGAAGCTGGCGTTTGAACATCTGGAGAAAGGAAACATCATGTTCTATCAAGAAGACCTGGAGCGATGTGGTCTGGATGTCACAGAGGCCTCAGTGTACTCAGGAGTTTGTACAGAGATCTTCAAAACAGAGTGTGAGATCTCCCAGAAAACAGTCTACTGCTTTGTTCATCTGAGCATTCAGGAGTTTCTGGCTGCAGTCTACATGTTCCACTGTTTCACCAAGAGGAACACAACAGCACAGACATTTCTGGGAGAAACATCTGTAGATTCAAGCCTTGATGTTCTCCTAGATGAAGCAATGGAGAAATCTCTGGAAAGTAAGAACGGTCACCTGGAGATTCTGGATGAGTGGACCTGAAGAAGTACAACACATCAGACCAGGGGCGATGGAGACTGATTCCAGCTGTGAGGAACTGCAGGAAGGCTAAGTAAGTCCAGATGTGATGGGCATTATAAATCAGTGTCATGTACTCATTTACTTATTTATTGTACCTCACTGTTCACCAAATGGTGTTCCACTGTTAATGTTTAATTCCGTTTTTATTGAGTTTTTACATGTTGTACAGTACCAAGAAAAAAAAATACAGACTTACACGGGAGAAACAAAACAGTACAAAAACAAAACAAAACAAATAAAAACAGAACAGGCTAGGTCAATGAGTCACATTTCTAGCATTATGACATCAAAACAGAAGGAGTCAGGTTTAGGAGTGAATTCATTCCAGTCTGTACTGGTTTCTCTAGTGCATTCTTACGTAAGGCCAGTCTGCATCCTCATATATCCAAAGATAGTTCTCTTGTATATCCATACAGTCCCTTCATCAGTGTTTAGGCAGTACCCTACACTAAGTGCGAAGAGTGCACCTAAATGTCGTCTAAATATTTAGGCTGCTTTTTGTCGTGAATATCAAGTCCTGTCTCCAAGTAATGTCTGGAGGGTGTAGCGTATTATTCTACTTCTAATTTAAATTGGGGCACCAGCTCAAAGAATGAGCATAAATTAACTAACCTTAGTTAATATCATATCATTGGGGTAAATTCTCAAGCAGTTAAAACCATAAAAATACACAGACAAAGTACTGAAATTTTATGTGAAGTTTAATAAAGAAAAATGGTGAATATATAAAGGGAGTAAATATGCAAAGGATATAATTACGACAGTGATACTGACGTGACAACGTAAATAATAACAATGTTATGTATTGATTCTAAGTTGAAATGGTGTTAGAGTAAGGAGTTGAAACGATTGAGTGATTTAACTAAGTGGGGATTGAGAAAGGAAAAAAAAGGGACTTAATAACGTTGAAGAAAAGTTGATTTGAGGCTTTGATTCGGATATGACAAGCTTGGCTCTCACACTCCTGTAGCGTAATTGAATTATGAAAATGTTATATCTTTATTTAACCTCGGATTTAATAGGGGGCACCACTTCCTGTTAAAGGAAGAAAATAACTTTAATGGTATAAGTTAATTAATTAATCAGTCAGTTTCATATCTTGAAAGAAGTAAGTTCTGGAAATGTTAAACAAGAAAACACACAGACAAAGTCCTGAATTTTATGTGTAAAATTTAATATAAAAGGGGTAAACAATAATGCATAGATGAAACAGATAAAGAATATGATTATTATGATCAGGATAATGCAATTATAATGTATGGTGACATTATATATTTAGTAATGAGATAAGACGCGGTATTGTTTGAATGAATTGAAGGAAGTTTTCTCTGGCAAGCGGTTCTTTCCAGGTCCAGAGAGGTCCACGGGCCAGATTAGATGCCTTGACACCTTGGTCGGAGTGTGCAGCTGGGATGGAGATTGTACGTCGGTTCAGCCGTCGTCTTGGAAGCTTGCTTGAGCCAGAAAGAATTGATGTTCCAAAAATTGCGCGTGAAAAATAAAGTTCGGCAGAGACTTGTCTCGACGGCACAGCTTAAAAGAAGTGATTCGGACCGAAGTCCGAAGAGAAGAGAGCCAGAGCTGAAGCTCTAAACTTCACAAACCAAAAACAAGAAGAACCCAAGATCTGAGCTGAGTGTGAACTCTTATCTGCTGGCTGAGAGGAGGGGGGTCTGCAGGCAAAGAGGGGTGCCTCCCACGGGTGACTCCCATTCTGACCGGAGGACAATTGTTTAAACTAAACCGAGTTTACTCAATAAGATTAAGAATAAGAATCTAAACATATATACGTCACCATACCTTCATTTTGATATTATTTCTATCAGATCCACGTTGATGTAGGTTCACGTCATACATTTAGACAAACATTTCTATCAGATTCATGTTGAGATGAAAATCACACCATCTGGGAACATCCTCAGTTACTCCCAGCCTGTAGGTGAACAAAAACATGTTATACAGTCAGCATTCTTAATAAGACATATTAATAAAGTAGGAAAAGAAATTGGTGTCTTTAAATAACACCTTCTATAGCTAATATCAAAGAGTATGCTTTATAACACGTCTAAATGTGTAATTATGAAGGTTACGTATTCATGGATATTCTAACACTAGATGGCAATAGCGCTCCACGTCAAATTCCTATTAAACATAATAGAACTCTTATTGTTGTTCTGAAGATCAGATTTTGAGTTTAAAAAGATGATTATGATACATTCAATGTGACAATTACAAATATCTAGATGAAGAAAGACATAGATGTTAATTTGATGCAGAATTGAACGCTGTGGTTTAATTCAGCTCTTCAACAGTCCTTCAACAGATGGTCAATTTTACGACTTTGCAGAGACTGGTTTCGGTCACAGTTCATGTCTTTGGGGTCAATTTGTAGATAGCAGAGTGTTCTGTTTCCCAGGTGTTGTAAAAGTTCAAAGCATCATGTCTGAGAGGGAGACTTAAGTCTCTGATCAGTTCCTTTGTTCCTTGGTAAACGTAATCAATATGTTAATCCACAGTCCTGAGTCCTGCAGGACAAGAGTTGTAAACGTCTCTGCTGATAACGGCTGCTGATAACGACTACACTCCTCTCATAATTGTAACGCTTCCTTACCATGCATCGTGTTCGGGAGAACTCCGCCGAATGGTACCACATAGCCCTCGTCGAGTTCTTTCGGATCGAGGATGCCGATGGTCCACGGTGACAGCCGTAGCAGATCTGGTCGGAGTTGATGATGAGAGGGAGTGAAGAAAAGCACAGCAGTCCAATAGTCGTCCGTGGGTCCGTCTCTCAGCAGCTCAAAGAGTCCAAACAACGTTCTTTAGAATTGAACGGTCGTTGATTCTCACTGACTTAGATGGTCACTTCTAGTCAGTTTGAGAATAGTGAAAATAGTGATCTGGAAGACGAATGGTCAATACTTCAAAAAGAGGAAAAGAGCGGTGCGTATCTTAAGTCGTAAGGGAGACCTGAGGATGTGTGCGCCTGAAAAATAGTGGTAATTATAAGATGGAAACAAGGTCTGCAGGTCCTGCAATTCCGAGCTTAAATTGGAAGAGTTTTGCGGCAGCAAAACGTGAAGAAAACAAGAGTGGTACAAAACAAGAGTGAGCTAAGTCCGGAAATTGGCCTGGTAGCTGGAGAGGTGCCAGTCCACTTCCTGAGCACTGCCGAGGTGCCCTTGAGCAAGGCACCTAACCCCCCCACCAGCTCAGGAGCGCCCACTGTGGGCAGCCCCCTCACTCTGAAACCTCTCCATTAGTGCATGTCCATAGGATCCTGTTTGTGCATGTGCATGTGTGTGTATTTCAGCCTATGTTTGTGTAGCATGTTAACTAGACAGAGTGTAAAAAATGAATTTCCCCTCGCGGGATCAATAAAGTATACATTATTATTATTATTATTATTATTAAAAGCAACAAGAGTAGTGAAAACAAGAAAACAAGAGAGAGAGTTCGTGAAGACGGGCTGTTTTATCTCCGGCGTGACTTTACGAGGGGGCGGGGCCTAATATCTAACCTACCTCCGAAGTTTGTTCATTAATTTGATTCACTCCGAGTTCTTATTTATTAAGAGTATAAATAAGAACTTGATCATATTGTAAGATGGAGATGAGATTTATTTTTGTGAAGTTTTATTTTATAGATCTTTATTTTTCTTAGGTTGAGATAATATACATTATTTGATTTAATGCTCATTTCATTTATATTTACAATTTGTACTGTACAAGAGTATCTGTTTGATATGATGCACTATGCCTTTAAGGTTACCCATGGTTACGATTTGAGGAGTGATATTGCTTTAAGACAAGTGAGGTGTCGATGTTGTTGTTGGGCAGTCTTGATATGTTATGCTTTGTTACGGACGGACATTAAAAAAAAATATGAGACGCACAGCAGAAGTTGTTCCCGTGCTTTTACTTACCCACACCCGAATATATATATTCAATGTATGTTTAGTATTATAGCTAACGGCAAGACAACCGAGGATAATCAACATCATCCAAGAAGCGCCGTTACAATATGAACATCACCATGTCAATATTTGTATGTAGAATTCTCTCAGAAATTAAACATTTCAAACAAATATGCAATGAATAAGCATTACATCAAACCTGAGGACAGTTAGACAATTTCTGCCTGTATGGAAATAAAACCAGCGTTATAACATTCAACATTCTCAAAAACACATTAATATAGTATGAAAAGTATAAAATCATATTTTCAAATACCATCTCCTATAACTAGAACAAAATAACACAATTAACGTATCACCATTTCTTCAATCCTAAAACTTAGATCTGTGCAGCAATCTTGCCACTAGGGGGCAATAGTGCTCCACATAAGATTCAGTGAAAGTTCATCATGTAATATGAAAAGACTTCCTACATATATAATTCCGTCATAGATGATCGTAGTGGAATCTAACTCACATGAAAATGTTACTCTTGATGTCACAATTATGTATATCCGATTCAGGGATCGAACCGACATTCTTTTATATCAGAAACTGAGCATGTTGGTTGGGTCAGATTGTTCATCAGGTCTAAAGCTGTTAGGTCAGTTGTTGAAATAGTCCAGAACACATCAAAGGCATCCCCTGCCATGTTGATTAACTCGGCAAACAGTTAACCATTGAGTTGTGTTTTCTTATCAGCAAACAGGAAAGGGGGTTTTTGGGTGAGTTTGAGGTTATTCCAGGGCAACACGTTACAAGGGGTATATCCAATTGACTTAGATCCAGGTTTTTCCATTTAGCACTGTAATACGGGTTGCAGCAGTAAATCTGTTGTGCTGATTTGTAATAGTTCTCCATGTCTGGTAGAGATAACCCCCCTTTTTCTTTGGGTAGTTGTAATGTCTTATATCTAACCCTGGGTTTTAGGCCTTTCCATATGAACCCTAAAAACATAATTTTCCACTCAACAGATTGTTTTGAGCGTATTTCTAAGAGTATTAATTGA